ATCAAACGGTCCAACGCCAAGCATACGAGTGGACCACAATCCCCTCTGGGTCCTTTCGTTTGTTGTGGTGCGGTCTCGTCTCTGCTAACTGTAATATTAAGCTTCTTTGGCTTCTTGTTTCCAGAACGAGTCCAATAATTTATCGCATCCAAGAATTTAGCCAAATAAGAGCTCCATCCCTTAATAATATCTCTTAAATCAGCCAATGATATGTAATTTATCATGCTGTCATATACTATTACCTTAAGGGATGTGATCTTAAGCTCGACGAGAAGCCAATGGTTACGTTCCAAAACAGGGATAAACACCTGTAATCATAAGTAATAATTCATTCATTTGCACACTTATTTATGAATACCTTTAAACTCAATCTAAAATAAACACTAACCTTATCGACCTCCCACCATGCAGGATAAAGTTTAGCTTGTCCATTGCCCAACGCAAATGATTCATCTCGTTGATTCTTCAAGTGAACGGCGTTAAAAGACGTCGGCATAATTGTATATCATGTATTTCTTTTATTTTCCTTAAGTTTCCTAATTATTAGAAGACGTGACACCCACGCATCGATATGCTGTTTTACAAAAAAAGACATATATTAGTAACTTACATAAATTTACAAAAAAATAATCAAATTAAAATATAAGAAAAATATAAGACTTACCCCTCCATCGAAATAGCCATTGTCTTCGACCCCTAATAATACGCCCCACCAAGACCGATCAAGCAACAAATAGATATCATCATTGAGCTTGCATATGTCAGTGAAACACCCCTGGCTTCGCTCATGTAGATAAAAATCAACTGCGGTCTTAGCCCAAAGGGTGTTATCCAGAATTGTGTCCGGTAGTTGTTTCCTCTCCACTTCAGATACCGGTATGGTACTGGCCGGTAACTCATACGAGATCCAACTTGAATCCATCATGTCCGGCACGTCAGAGGGTTTCTCAAGAATCCTACATATGACGCCATGTGAATCGGGCTCTTGAATGGTGGGAGGGACCTCTTCAACGATGGCAGTGGCCTCTTGAACGGTGGGAGGGGACTCTCGAGGAATGATAGGGGCCTCTTCAACGATAGGAGTGGACTCTTGAGGGATGACAGGCAAGTCAGGCTTCTTCTTGCGGTGTCTTTACACTATTGGGGTATACGGAGACTTAATAGCACGTGCACGCCGTCTGATGCGTGAACTCTATCGTGCAAGAAAAACCCGATGTAAAGCATCCACCTTATCGGTCCGCTAAATAATTAAATACAAATATCAGTAAATAAACAGACATGATATTTAAACAGTGAAAACAAAGACAAATATATTTCAAACTTTCAACCAAAAGACAAAACAAAGACAAATACTAACTTCATAGTGTTAAAGAATACACAGTTTAGCAGAATTGGCAGCAACCGAATAAATTTACTTCAACCAAAAGACAAAACAAAAAGACAAATACTAACTTCACAGTGTTAATAAACAGTTTAGCAGTTTTGGCAGCAACCGAATAAATTTACTAAGCAATCTAAGTGAAATGGTTAATTTAAGTGAAATTACAAGTAAATTTATCATCAAGTTAAATATGGAAAATCTTAAACTTACCTCGTTGCGTAGAGTATGAACCTCATTCTACAACGATACTATCATCTCACGTAGAGTAGCAACCTCACCACGTAAAGTAGACACCTCCACACGCCATGCACCATCGTTATCGAGTAGAGTACCGATCTCCTCACGCAAGGCATTGACCTCATCACGTAACTCCCTTGACTCATCCCGTGGAGGTGGAGAACAGGGAGATAGAAGTCGTGGCATCTTTACCGGTCGCCTATCATGAGGTGATGGTGGAGAAGAGGCTCGATGATGTGACGGGATAGGTGATGGCTCTCGTTGTAGAGGTGTATAGTCGGGTCGATCAGGTGATGGCTCTGGGTGAGGTGATGGCTCTCGAAGTGGAAGAAGTGGAGGCTGCTCATCATTCGTGCCATCAAGAAAACGCTGACTAGCTTGCCACCAATCAGTGGCAAGCTCAGCCTCCGTGGGTGTCAGTCTAATTAATGGAATGTTGGCCTCCTAAAAATATAAAAACTCAAACAAAGTTAAACGTCTACTATTAATAACTTGTTTATATATGATAGTATTTGTGTTAACTTACATTATTTATTGTCGCATATGGTATTAAGTCTTCCCAATCCAACAGACGTTTCCTCTTCCAGGAAATAGCCCTGGGAATATCATTTGAAGTTTTTATTGCATATGTCTTCATGGCGGGAAAGGCCTCGAATATCCAAATCTACAAACAATATAATAACAAACATTAGTAATTGTTAAATAATTAATTAAATATAATTTTGAAAACATTATATAGAAATTCTTACCTTAAAGGCCCAAACAAAGCCTGACAAAGTGTATTTCGACCCATCGCCCCGCAAACTTTTGCGGTCATCAAAGGCAGACGACAACTTAGTCCAGGTAGCTTTCCATATATACGAACCCCACGGAAACAGATTCCATGCATTTAGGTCCTCTACCAATAATATTAGCTCCTAAGGAATAGGTTGTCTGGCCTCTCTGCCTAAAAAGCCGATATACAAAAGTAGTAGAAGGCATACTCGGACAACATCGACGTCATTCATCCGAGTAAAACCATCTTTCTTATTAAACAATTTCTTCATGTCGTCGACGTGTAAGTTCGGCTTCTCTATTGACTCATCAGGAAAAACCCTGGATAACCATGATGGGCGGGTGATATGACGAGTGTACCGGCCTACATCATCGTGTCCGAATCGTAGACCAGTGATTAAGAAGAACTCCTTCCGCCCAAAACAAGTATACGCCGGTGGAAAATGAAACCATATCTCTTCCTCACCACGTTGTATACTGTCGGGTAGATCGCTAGTCATGGTCTGAAGCCACAAATGGGTCAAATTAGCATCTCCACCCGGATGCTGTACTCTCAGCCATGGCCCGAAGCAGGTTTCTTCAAACAATTTTCTTTGTGCAGGTGAAAGCTTCGAAGCAATTGTAGTGGCTAGGCTAACTTTATTCCTTAATGTCAATGAAGCCGAAAAATTTTTCTACAAAAACAATAAACATACCAAGTTAGATATACCAAAAACTACACTGTCAAGATATACCAAAAACAATAAACATAAATAGTAGTTTATTCTTGAAACTAAAATTTGCAACACTGTTTTGTCTTTTGGTTGAAATGAAAATCGCAACGAGATAATGAGAATCGCAACGCGGAAATTACTATCGCAACGAGAGAATCGCAACGCGAAATGACTATCGCGACGAGAGAATCGCAACGCGAAATGAAAATCGCAATGCGATTTTGGTTTCGCGTTGCGTTTTTTTATTTCGCGTTGCGATTCTCTCGTTGCGATAGTTATTTCCGCGTTGCGATTTTCATTCTCGAAACTATTCTTCTTCTGCATTACTTCAACCAAAAGACAAAACAAAGACAAATACTAACTTCACAGGCTAAACAGTTTAGCAGTATTGGCAGCAATCGAATGAATTTAATAAGAAATCTAAGTGAAATGGTTAATCTATTATTGAAATTACCAGTAAACTTATCATCAATCTCAATATGAAAAACCTAAAATAATGCAAAAATTTCAACAAAAAAAAAAAAAAAACTAACCCTCGGAGGTTGATTTTCTATTTCTGAATGATTGTGAGGGATTTTTGATTGTGAATGGTTGTGAGAGATTTCGTCGGCGATGGGGACGGAAATCTTCGGAGATGGGGACGGATTTCGCCGTAGAGAGTGAGAGATGGAGATGAGACTGAGTGTTGTGATTTTAGGTTTGAGGTTATGAGTTGCGATTACTGTGGACGGTTCAGTTTCCGATTTATTAAGAAAAAATTCGTGTTTGGAATTTGAAAAAAAAAATATGCGTTAATACGAATGGCGCTATGTAAATCGCGTTGCGAAAGTCAGAATCGCTTTGTGAAAGTCAGTATCTCGTTGCGATTTTGTATTATCGCATTGCGATAGTAAGTATCGCATTGCGATAGTCAGTATCGCATTGCGATTTTCCCAATTCGCGTTGCGATTTACTTATTCGCATTGCGAATTGGGAAAATCGCAACGACACTGTAGACCATCGCAACGCGATTTCCAACTATCGCATCGCGAAATGCAACGCGAATTTGCGATAATGGAGATCGCGTTGCGAATTAGCGATCGCATTGCGATTTTGTTGGTCATTTTGGCAAATCTGAAAAAAGTTGGTTAAAATCGTATATTATAAGGCATTTTTGGTCACTGAGGCGATTTTCTCTATCAAAAATAAATTATTATTATTGCTATTATACAAACACGTGTGTGCGGCAAGAATAGTTCAAATCATCTTGAAAAAAATTAACATTTTACAAATAAAAAAATTATATGAGTAAAAATAAATGATTGACAGCAAATAGTTATATATGTATAAATAAAGAGTTCATAATTATAAAACCACAAACATGTATATGCCATTATGTGATCATATCACAAGTAATATATTACTTGAAGACCTAATGTTCTTCGGACAAACATAAGTAATAACGTCAAAGTCTTAAAGGATATTATGGAAGATCCTACTACTTTTCTTTCTCGTATGCAATAACCCTAATCATCCCATTATTAAGCATCTCCATGTTTCCAAGGAATATATATATATAAAGGGCATTAAGCGTAATTACTTGGGAGGTGGGAGTTTAGCAGGATCATTGTGAGGAGGGAGAAGATTCTTCTCTTTATCATCGTCTGAAGAGGAAAGGTTAAGCTTCAAATCAACGGTGTGGATGAAGCCTCTCTTCCTTACAAGCTTGCCACCTTGTCTCCTCATATCCCATTTTCCCCTTCCCTCTAATTGTATTTATTTGAGTAGGCTTTCGAATAATAAGAAAGTAAAGGCTTGTAATGACTAATAACCAGAGGGTTGAAGATCATATATATTGTAGAGTAATACAAGGAGTAAAGTAAAAAAAGAGACCGAGAACGACTATGGCAGAAGAGGACACTGTCGGACCTTTCCGGTTTTTTTTATAATCACTTGTATTTGATTTATTGATAGATAATGGAGATGTGAATACGATTATTAAGGAGTCTAGTGTTTCTTTCATTAAACTATTTTATTTCATTCACAATTATTAGAATTTAAACTTTTAATCTTAATTAATGAGTTTAGTGTCTAGTTCCAGTAAAATAATTTATTATTAGTGATTTTTCCGCTTTATTAATATATGAAGCGGTGGATCGTGGGTTTCTACATTTTGCTATACTCTGATATGCCACGTGGTTAAACCTGTGAAGCTAAACTCACATAATTAGTATTAATATTTTTTGTATAATTATTAAAAATTAGAATTACTTATATATATTTATTAATAGAAAGTAATTGTATTAAATTTTCATATTATATTTAATAATATATATATAATTATATAATATTAACGTTAAATGTCAAATGATTAAAAATTATGTTAAAAATATATTGTCTTGTACTTATCAAATTAATCAAAAAAATGTTTTTTAATAATATTATGTTCAAAATGTTTTCTTAACCAATGACAATATATATTTTTACATATATAAATGCTTGAACTCATAATCTCTAGAAAGAATAATATTTTTAACCTATAAGATCATTTAATATATGATTTGAATTTTAAAATAATATAAATAAATTTGAATGAAATTGACGAGTTCCAATAACGTAATAAGTGCATTCATGCATGCACAATGTAATATGTGCACATGTACGCATGTTAATATTAGGATGTTGGCTTCCATCCTGAACTCCTGGGGCAAGTACAACGAATATAAGATCGCTCTTGTTCCGTATGAGAGAAATGCACTCAAAAGAAAGCAGAATAATTCCAACAAAGTTTCTCTTCGAATATTGTCATGAATATTTCTCAAGCACATAAACTAAAAGGCCATTGATTGACTCTTGTGAAGGTGCAAGGCATAGGGAGAGTATCCACACGAGGAAAGAAGAGAAAAATGCAACTTCTACAAAGAGTCGACTTAAAAGAACACATTGGCAGTTTTGAACACGACACATACCAGCATACATGGTGGGCTGCAAATCACCAGTGGCTTGACTCATGATCTTCTAGGGAATTCTTTGACAAATGAAAATAATTTTTGAATTCTTTCTATGAAGGTCTCTATCCTTAAATTCATAGCAATGCACGTAAGTGACGGCAACATTGAGATGCAAATACCCAGGCAGTCCCGTGCTGATTCAAGAGTTAAAACTGTGTAAAGCAATGCATATAAACATAATTGAAAAGGGGGGAAATGAGAAGGATTGCTTCTTCGCAAGACAGTAGCAGTGAGGCTGAGCAAGCAGAGCAGTAGCTCTTCCCTGCTAAAGGAAGTAAAATACGATCAGCCTGAGGCAGATTTACAAGTTCAACATAAAATAAAACAGCAAAGACAAAGGATTTAATTAACAAAACTATTAGCAATAGCATATAATCTTCTTTAAGGAATGATAGCCTCTCACAAAGATAAAAGTGAGAAGAAAATAACTTGGAATTTTAACCATCGACTAAAATAAAAGAAAAGTACCAGAGATACAAGTAACACGTTTAAGACTGTCAGTACAAGAAAAATAAAAAGAACATGAAAACTAAAAATGGTTCCATCATCGCTCAAAATGAAGACTCAAGTTAAATCCAAGTACCATACTTAAAAAAGTCCAATCCAGGTACCAAGTACAGAGTTGCAGAAGCATATAACAAAAACATGACGTGAATCTAAAAGTAGAAATACTTACCAAAAGGGGGAAAAGTGAAAATTTAGAAACAAACAAGCTCTCTTACTCCTCTTCCCTCTCTCGATTCCATTGTTCAATCCTGGCTCTCCGCTCCTCACTCCCTTCCCTAGCAGGTGGAGGGCTTCTGCTTCGCCTAGGACTCCCGTGTTTTCTCCTACCGCTGCCTTCACGGTCATGCCGGTCAGATCTTCGCCCATTCCTACCGCGGTCACGGTCCCTGGGCTCTCTGTCACGCCTGTGGCGTGGACTGGCACTCCTTCGGCGTGGACTGGCGCTCCTGCTCCTACTCCTTCTGTACTTGCGGTACCTCCCGAACAGCTTCCTTCTCAGCTCCTTCCCAATTGCCTTGACGTGCATAAAATTACAGTAACCCCCACGGTTACAGCTGTTCTCCTCGTATTGTCGACAAGTGGCCTCGCGGAAATCAGTGACCGGGGAGAAATCTGCAATGATAGGCCGACCGGAGTAGAACCTTCCTTGAAGAGCCTGGAGTGCGGCCGCTGCCTGGTCCTCCTCCCTGAACTGAACATACACATTTCCGATCATGTGATCGGCAAGGTTGTCACAGACGTTGAGGCTCTCGATCTCGCCGAACTTGTTGAGCTCCTCGAAGATGTCCTCGTAGAAGTCCTCGAAGTGCTCTTGAATCTTGCGGGGGTCGATGGTCTGGCCTTGGGCGTCCACTCCGGGTGTGATCATGTCGGGGCGCTGGTACATATTCGACAGGAGGAGAGTTGGAGAGGTAGTCGGACGATTGTGGAGCCGTGAGCACCTGTCCCCGTGTCGGCATGCTCCAATCTTGAAATAGAAGGGACAATTCACACGGTCCTTCTCGGTGCCGAAGATTGAAGCCAAGTGTTCCGCCATTGTGGGTGCAAGGAAAACAGGAAGAAAACACAAGGGCAGAATATTTGTAAATATAAAATGTAATTAAAAGCCACTAATCAAATTGAAGGAGAAGGAAACAGTAGAGTACGGTTAGGGTTTTCGAAGCCTTAATTTTGGAGTTTCTGGAAGGGAAGGGAAGGGAAGGGAAGGGAAGGGAAAGAAACATATTTATATCAATTTCCCTGCTTGTTTACTGATGTTAACATATTTCTTTACGACGAATGACATGAATATTTCTTTAGTTTGTCTCCTTCTAGGTTAATTCCAACAATGATATTTCGGTTGATAGGTGAATTTTTGGAAAACATTTTTTCTAAAAATTTCGGTATTGCTGGGCAGCTGGAGTCTTACTGCATATATGATATACCATCTATGGTCACAGACGAATGTTGAATTTTGTCTTGAGAGTAATCTTTTAAAAAATTTAGACGAACTTATAAAATTTTAGGATGCTACAACATGTTATCAATAGAAAATATAAAAAAATAAATAAAATATACGATAATTTAAAATTTTTATGAAGACGGCTATCCTCGCCCGATCCCCTTGATCCATCCCTGGTTATGCCGAATGATTTAGTAAGGTATATTGTTATGGAGTGCATGGACTGCCATGTGATTCTATCTCCCATTTATGCTAGTTCTGAAAGAATGAGGAAGGAAAACAAGAAGAAAGATGGAGCATAGACAAAAATAGAAATAAACTACTTTACTAGATTTGATTAATTTTAGTAGTTAACAATAAACTTCACTAGGCAGTCAAACAAGACAACACTACCCTGTTTATATAGCGTTTTTCTTCACTGCTATATTTTCCTTCCAACTGCTTCTTCCAATTGTCTAAGATTTAAACAATTAGGACTATGCTGGGGAACTTTATAGCTCTTCGTTAGAGTTCTTCATGCATTAATTTGTTATACCTTTTCCTATAACTACTTCAAATGATAGATATCTTCTACAATTCTAGGTTCCTCAAAGGGACAAGGACAGGGTGAAACTGATATCACGCCCTCAGGAATTCTGGCCGAGTTAACTACACACAAAAAAATCAGGGGTGCAAGTGAGGCAAGCCACAGGTGGATCATCTAGAGAAGACTCAGATAGTGATGAACTTGAAGGAGATACTGAAACAGCCGACATGGATCCGGCTGATGCGAAACGTGGAGGAGGTATAAAGTGGTTTTCACCTGTCATTACCCCACGTGTAAATTAACAAATTCACACTGAACTAAATTTCTAATTTGCTGATGTAATCACACGTGACCCTCTACTAATTATTGAATCAATGATGGATCAGAATGCGGTCAAATCGAGAATCGGCTAGACGCTCTAGAAGAAGAAAGCAAGTACAAAGAAGCACATGTTTTTCCGCCATGTTCCCCTTTCCCCTTGATGGTCTCATTGATTATTTTTTATTGTCTTATTTGATCCTCTAAGTGGTTTTTCTAGGTTGGTCAACTAAGAGTTGAACATTCCACATTACTTAAGCGTCTAACTGACATGAATCACAAGTATGGTGAAGCTGCAGTTGACAATAGAATTATGAAGGCCGACATTGAGACTTTAAGAGCAAAGGTAAACCATCACCGTTCTAATTTTGCATTTTTCTCATCATGATCTAATTGTCCTGCCGTTAGTTGATGCGGAGTCCTCCCGAAAGTCGAAAACTTACTTGCAGGTATATCCCCAGAGAATTATTATCCTGACACCACAACGTTTTTGGTCTGGTTTAAAACTTTGTAAAGCCATGAGCAATTCATTTTCCTTCAGCTAAGAGTTAAGGCTTTAATTGGTAGACATGCTTGCATACTATACTAATAGGTTCTCTCGTTAATTTTTTTTTTTTTTGGCAATTTATATGTGCTCCATTTCAGGGATCTGCTGGACTTGTCTAGTACTTTTGTGCTGTCACTTCGATGGAGTGTTCAATTGTTCATAAAATTAAACTTATTCACTTCTTGTATGTCTCTCTAAGTTTACACAATGGATAGACATGATCTATTTCGCTGAAATTACCCTTTTGGATGTCAGATGCAAATTCCAGTGTTTAGACTGTTGCCAAATGAGAAAAATAATCAGGCACATTTATGGTGGAAACTGTTGCAGGAATTACTATAATTCTTTTAACTATTTACTTGTTATAAATTACTATTGATTATGATTAGTGCAACTTCAGTTCTGGGTTATCAGGTTGATCATTTAATTCGAAAATTTCAGGTGAAAATGGCTGAAAAACAGTTAAGCGGGTGACAGGGATCAATCCTGGTCTTCTATCCAGACCCAATGCACATAGTGTAGGCATCCCTTTTCTTAGCAGCCCATTGGAAGCATCCACAGCTGCTCCTCTACCATTCCAGTCAAACGCTAGCCAGTTTTTTCACCTGATATGAATTTACAAACTAAAGTAGGAATGAATAATTTCAATGAAACATCTACATTACAGCGTAAATCCAGCGTGGGGTGTGTTCAAGATCAGATTGACCCTGGTGTCAGTGCACATGAACCTATGCCTGGTTGGGAGACTGGTCATGCGGCTGACGGGAACCACAAGATCAGATTTAGCGCCCCTCTTGTTTTCTTGTTTTTGTTTTTTTAGACGCTCAATTATGGCTAATTCGATTGACGGGTATTGATCCTCACTGCATTTTTGTTTTTAACATCTTCAGTGAGTGACTCGTATATGTATCATATAATGGCTGTGCCAATCGATTTCTTGAATAAACTTTCCTAACAAACTTCTTATCAGTTCAAGGTGCTAAATTTGCTGATAAGGTTACCCATCTCAGGTATTAAAAGTGGATCTTTGATAATGAGTACTAGGGTTGCACATAATTCGGATTTCAATCCGATCCGGATCGGTTTTTATCCGATCCGGTTTTTTCCCATAGAAAAAAAAACCGGTTTATAAAATAACCGGTTCGGTTTCTAACCGGTTTGGAGGGCCGGATATCCTAACCGGTGTAACCGGTTTCGGTTTTAAAAAAACCGGTTTTTTTAAAAAACCGGTTATAAAAAAACCGATTTTAATATTCCAGATTGCTCATAGGGAACCGATTCCCCCCAAGGGGGTACCGATTCCTCACTGAATGGTTTGGCTCCGAGATTTCCAGAATGCTCGGAGGGAACCGATTCCCCCATAGGGGTACCGATTCCCCCCTATTCAACGGTCGAAATATTTGAATTTTACACTTAGGGAACCGATTCCCTATGAGAGGGTACCGATTCCCCCACGCTCTAAGCATTTTTATTAAATGTTTTCACACTTAAACGGCTATATTATCTTCATTAATTATCACTAACGTTCAGAAGTGATTCAAGGTGTATTTAAGCAAGCTTAGAAGTCATTGATCAAAGACAAGAAACATCAAGCAACTAGAATCAAGAGAGAATCAAAGAGAAAGCATCAAACCTCAAGTTCGATAAATTCAAATACTTAATTGAAATACTTAATTAACTCAACATAATTGAAATACTTAAATACTTCCAAGTTTGATAAATTCAAATACTTAAAACTTCCAAGTTCGATAAATTCAAATACTTAAAAACTTCAAGTTCGATAATTGAAACAAAGTTTACGATAATTGAAATAAAGTTATAAAATAAACTACATTGCCATCTCTTCTTCATCATCTTCGCCTTCTTCGTTTGGAGGGGATATTCCAAGTTCGACTTCTTCAATGTGTAAGTTTGCTTCCAAATCGGCATCAATTGCATCTTCTAGGGTAGTGATATGTTGCTTACGAGCCGCTCCATCCAAATAATCCTTTAAACAAATGCATACTTCCACCGACTCGGGACTTAGTCTTGATCTCCGTTGCGATATAACCCTGCCACTAACAGAAAAAGCGGATTCCGAAGCTACCGTAGAAGCTTGGACGGTTAGTAAATCACGGGCCATGGCGGCTAGAATCGGAAATTGTGCTTCCTTTTCTTTCCACCAAGCCAAAATATCCAAACTTTCAAACTCTTCAAATGTCATTTTTGATAGAAAATCGCATGACATATAATTTCCCAACTCGCTACTTGGGGTGGTAGTACGTGATCGTTTGGATTGGGAATTTACAAGAGTGTTAAAAAGATTCAAATTTATGTTACTTGGACGTCTACTAGATGATTCCGCATTCATTCTCATTTGATCGTGTATTACACTACTTGATCCGTATTTATTTAAATAAATTGCAAACATGTCTCGAAAACATTTGTTAAAATAATTTATTTGGTTTTGGACAAAGTTGGGTTCATCATCGGTTAGATTAAAAGCAAACGCAATTTGTTCAATTAGTGTTTCAACCCCACCAACATTTAACGTTGGGTTTAAAGCGGCGGCACAAGTAAAAATGGGGGGAATCTCCTTAAAATATTTTAAAAGTTTTTCCTTCATTGCAAAGCCAATTTCTTGAAAAACTTCGGTTTCAAATTCAAAGTCATTTAGTCGGGTAGCCAACAAAAATATTTGATTAAGAACCAACGGGCTAGTAGGGTAATAAACACCGGATAAAAAAGTTGTTGCATTTTTAAAAACCTCAAGTAAATCGGTTATTTTGGCTATAGTTTCCCAACTCGAATCCGGATAAATGTCTGGGACATGACCCCTCTCGAAAAGCCGATCATGAAATGTTTGCAATGTTTCCCTTTGCCTTAAGGCAGTATGCATCATCATCCAAGTTGAGTTCCAACGAGTTGGACAATCCAAATTAGGACCCAAAGCTTTTTATTAACAGACTTACAAAATCGTTTATAATCATTTAGTCTTTTGTTGTTGTTACAAAGAATCGATTTTATCATTGTTTTAAATTCTAATCTAATTGGCTCAATAACCTCCAAACCGGCTTGCACGGATAAATTAATTATGTGTGCAACGCAACGGGTATGAAAAAACGCACCGTCTAAAATCGGTGAAAGTAATATTTTTAATCTTGGAATCGCGTTTGTATTATTCGATGCATTATCAAAAGATATAGAAAAAACTTTATTTTCTAATTTATAAAGACAAATTACCCGTTTTAAAAGTGTAAATAAATTAGCACCGGTATGCGGCTCACCGAATAATTCAAACGCGATTGTTCTTTTCATCATTTGCCAATTATCTTGATCTAACCAATGTGACGTAACGGCTAAAAAAGAATTTCCGGTATTATGAGGGGAACTCCAAACGTCACATGTAAGCGACACACCATAACGGTGTTCTTGGAATCCTAAAATCATTTTTCCCTCGCCGTACGCCACATTTTTATAGCATCTCTTCTAAGGGTAGTACGACTTACTTGAGTATAACGTGGTTGCATTAGTTGTTGAATTGTTGTCGTGAAATCTTCATCATCAAAGTGGTCGAACGGCAATGCTTTTGTAATCACGAACTTTGTAAACGCTTCTCGTAATTTTTCGTTGTCGTAAACAAAAACACCACCTTGCGGTGTAAGATTCGATTGACTAGGATCCGATCTTGAGCGAAGTGCCTTGCATGATTTTGTCAAATGGTTCTTCAACGTTGTGTTTCCTTCCGATGCAAGAAACTTTAGACAAAGTTTACAACGCGCCCTCCTCGAGCCATTTGACATCTCACATAAATCGTAGTGATCCCAAATATCTTTGTTTCGAGTGTGTTCGATCACTCTCACGACTTCAAGGTTTCCCACGACGGAAGATTCAGCAGTGTTACTCATGATGAATAAAAAATTACAAAACTAAGATTTGAGAGATGTTTAAGTGTTGTGTAATAAGATTTGAGAAAGTTGTAATCAACCAAATACATCCCCAACCTATTTATACATGTTTAGGGTGGTAAAATGGTAATTTTTTAAAGAAAAAACGGTCAAAAACGGTCACAAACGGCTATATTAACGGCTAGTTTTTTAAACCCAGACCGATTTTTTTTTTTCGGATAAAAACCGGTTTTTTAACCGGTTTTTTTCAAACCGATTTTTTATCCGGTAAAAAAACCGGTCTAGGTTTTTTTCTCCAAACCGGTTAAAATAACCGGTTTAAAAAAATCCAATCCGGTTAAAAAAAACCGGTTTTTCCCAAAACCGGTTTCGGATATTTTTTTCGGATATTCGGATATTCGGATTTTTTGTGCACCCCTAATGAGTACTAAAAACAACACCGCGGTAATTGGCAATGTTGCAAACCCAGACTTGCACAAAAGCGACATCTGATGCTAGGGGATGAACTTCTAAAATTTTTTAGGAGATGAAGCTATAAATTTCTAGGGAATAGAAACAAATTATCAGTAGAAAATACAAATAACATCTAAAATATAAGATAATTTAAAAAATTTAGGATAACTTCCCCGGTCCATCTCTGGTAATATCAAAGATCAATTGTTGGAATGATCACCGAGTCATACCATTATGAGCTCAATCTCAATTTGGGCAGGTTTGGAGTCATTGTTTTCCTAACCTACTCAACAAAGCCAAAATTAGCATATATAAATTAAGGAATTTAAATTATCATGAGCTATTATTATTCATTCATACATAACATTACAAGGGGAACATGTTGGAATTCCCCCAAAAAAACATTATAGATAAGCATATAAACACTAATGTTACATAAATTGTCCAAATGGGACAGTTGGAATATCTGAAATCCGATCTCCTGGGATCATGATAAGACCAGAGCATGTATATGCATTTGAGTCCCCCTTTACTGAATTTTAGTGTTAGATTGGAGACCTGATTGAACTTTGCTCTGGAAATGTGTTTCCAACCTGCAATCAACAACGGTAGACAAATAAATAAAGATAACCGATTAACATGAGGAAATGATATCATGCCCGTTGAACATTGATAATAATGATGAAAGCAGCAAACACACACACAAGCAACAAGGAAGTGATCATGCCTGGTTGCGCATTTATAGTAAATAGTATCGGGAGAATTATACGTGCGTGCATTAGCAAACATCCTCTTGGCATCAGCCACAAACATCTCAAGTGTTACATAGTATTGCTCCGAATCAACTCTTTTTGACATAGTCTTCAGATCTGCATTACACGGATATATAGTCCAGCATAACAATAACTGCTGCATGTAAAAGTTTTAACTCGGAGCCAGTGGCGGATCTAGAAATTAAAAAATGGGGGTCCAAAATTTTATTGCTCCATTCTAAAAATTTTGGGTATGCAATTTTTTGTTTCTATTTTCATTAACAAATTAAACCAGATTTAACACTTTTCTCGAAATAATGGGTGTGCAGTGGCTCCCCTAGGGAGCCACATACATCCACCCCTGCTCGGAGCATCTTTATAAACAGGAGCATAACATAGCATGAGATATAATTTGATGATAGTATTCTATACAATCTGAAGCTGTACTCAGCTTGGATGGTGGTTTATTATTGAATACAAAGGATTTGCATGACCCGTCGAGCTGTAAATATTCGTAATAGAAACTAGAAATTTCAGTCAGGTTATTAGACAAACCTTCATGGTACTTGATTCAATATTTCGATTCCCAAATAAACTATGAAAATTTAACGTCATTATTTCTCAAAGCAAAAAATGTATAACTAAATATCACGCAATGCTTTCATAGATTTATAGTTTTCCACTTAAGCGAGATTTGCCATTGCCTGCAGGCTGCAATCACTTGTAGTTGCTAAGAGAAAAATTCTAAACAACTTTCCCACTCAAACCTAAACCCATTTGACAGCTACACCATCTTATGATAGTTGTTTATATGAACCTTACCCATGGGATCTCTGATGATGTCATAATAATCAGGTACATCACGAGCATCAACTGGCTCTTTGAATGGCCAGGCATCGGCATGGTCGTGCATTGACTGCATGAACAACATCACTTTGATTAGAATCCAAGGAAAATTATGAAAGGGTTTGCTCATATAGACATCTGATTTCAACCAAACACTTGGAGAGAATCAAGTTAACATGTTGAATTGAGTAAATGCAAAATTAACACTTAGTTAACCAGCAATTAAGCCATTGCAAAGAATCCTTAAAGTTAGTGGAAAATAGCTTCCCCTGCGTCTTAGACATCGATCCATTGGGTCCCTATGGTGTGTTTGATTGCTAGAAGGGCACATGGATGCTTTTTATACAAGCCTCTTAACTACATTCATTTGCAACATAAGGAAACAGGATAATGATTATTAAGAGTTATACCCAAAATTCATGTGATAGGAAAATAAGCATCAATTAAACATAATTACAAGTGCAATAATGAAGATATATGCAGATGATGACCAATTAAAAGTTTAGAAAGTTGCCTTCAGAAGTGAGCGCATGAAACCAGTTAAGTGTTTCTGATTTGTGGTGTTGTCTGCAGACACAATTAAGGATCTAAATCGTGTATGACCCCATTGATCAGGAGTCCATCCGGCTTCCTCTGTTACCAAATTAATACAAATTTAGGATTTAGTTAGTTAAAACTTCCAGCGGGCTGGCAATCTTTGAATATGTATGAATATTCACAACAAAAACAAATAGGGGGAAATTGCAAATTGTTAGATAAAAGATAAACTCAAGATACCTTCCATATTGAAAATTAGAAGCTTATCTAAAAGGAACAAATATATATTCAGCCAAATTGTCAAGCCAGAAATATTGATGCATATAATTGCAATACAGTATTGATATAAAACATGGAAAAGAGAAACAAGTATCTGATATAATTGGCAACAACGGCCAAAGAACTTACTCAAACCAGGAATATCCTCAACTTTGACAACTCTTTTAGGAATACCAGCTTCTTTCTGAATCAAATGAATCTTTCATTACTGCTATGTTTGAAATAGTTGTGCTTAATTTGCAAAGGCTAAATCATAAAACTACAACAAAGGAAGCTACAGCAGGTAAAATAATTAGACCAAAAGTGAAGTGGGAAACGATTGTGCACTTCACCATACCCAAAATAAGACAACCAGTTTCACTTGCTGATTAGAACACAAAGAAAGATGAACAAATTCAGTGACAAGAATACAGAGTCCAGTAAACAGGAATGCCATTTAAGAATGAGCAACAATATGATGCAATACACGTACACAAAACAAAACAAAAACCTAGAACACTTAGAAAATACGTAACTTTTCAACAAAAATATGATGCCTTGATTAAAATTGAAGAACCAAAATAAAACATGAGAAACTCAATATTCTATTTGTGATACTGAATATGGCTCAAAGCCTAAAGACTCTTACAGAAAATGTAATCTACTAAAAGAATGCAAAGCGAATGAATCTACATGTACCTTCAGAAAATCAATTCCTGGATAAACAATTTGACAGTTCGAGAGCTCCCTAATCTTTTCATCAATTGCCTGATAATCCCAAATACGAAAGAACATGTTAATAGAAGATTGAAGAAATAGCCAGAATACACATACGAGTAGCGAGAAGGAAAAGATAGTCGAAAAAAAGAAAATTGATTAAAGGTTCTTGGTTTATAGCAGATTGGCTATTCAATTTCTTTACCCACCACTGAAACTGTATACGTTAAATTTTGATTACATATGTCCGCATTAGCTTTTGATCAAAGTCAATAGGTTAAGCAAGTTCTGAACAGATACTACCTTGTAATCACCCCAGAATATTAAAAAACAAGAGTCGATTGTTCAGTAATCCATTCACAATGAAATCAAAAAAGGTGCTATACTGGGACCTAATGTGCATCCAATGAACTACCGCAGGTCAAAATATGGAGAGTATAACACTTTGGATAGTAATCAGTGTTACACTTGAACCCAATAAGCATCCAATGAACCACTGCAGGTCAAATAAGAGGAGTACAACGCTTTTTATGGTAATCAGTGTTGCAGGCCTCTACAAAGTTCTTCCTGGTGAAGACAGCAGAGTATGCCATAGGAGACTTCAACCCTAAACGGTCCCACATCAGATAGGGAATCCGGTCTTATTTTATGGACCTTGAACCCAACTTTTCAGGTGAATTTTGAGAAGAAAATCATGGAATCCAATAGACAAATTGAATAAATACATCAGAACTCACAAGTCACAAGTTCAATTGGTCCTTATGCATCCAATGAACTTCCGCAGGTCAGATAAGGGGAGTACAACAACTTTGGATAGTAATCAGTGTTGCAGGACTCCACAAAATGGCTACCTGGTGAAGACAACAGGATATGACATAGGAGATATCAACCCTAAAAGTATCCCACATCAGATAGACAGTAGGAAATCCGGTCTTATTTTATGATAGATTTTGAACCCAACTTTTCAGGTGAGTTTTGAGACAACTTTGGATAGTAATCAGTGTTGCAGGACTCCACAAAATGGCTTCCCAGTGAAGACAACAGCATATGACATAGGAGATATCAACCCTATAAGCATCCCACTTCAGATAGACAGTAGGAAATCCGGTCTTATTTTATGATGGATTTTGAACCCAACTTTTCAGGTGAATTTTAAGAAGAAAATCATGAAACCCAATGGCCAAATTTAAACAATACCTCACAACCCACAAGTAGAATCGATCCTCACAGAGTTATGAGAACACCCACCCACCCCCAAAAGATAAAAAGGTTTCATTGATAGAGTGAATAATAGACTGACCTGCCGCTGACGATGAATCATGGTTGATAAATCGGTATATGGAAGCTTGGGGTCGATTTTACATTCCATGAGGACACCTCCATCATAGTCTTTAATATACCTAGAAAAGTGAAGAAAAGTTATTCACAACCTACAAAGATATCAAGGACATCGCTAACAAAGAATAGAGGAAAAAAACAGGTCCCATTAAAAGGTTAACACAAAACCCTGCCTAAAAGAAAAACAAAGTATTCCACAAAGGATAATGTCATTTTAGTTCTAGATACCCCATATTTCCATTTTTAAAAGAAAAGCATGCATCCTCAGCATTTCAACACTCAATATGGCATATAACAGGGAAAGGGTTTCTTTTACTCCTTGATTGCTTAGTAAAAACACAAAATAAGTGGCCCTTGAGCCCTAAGGATGGGGAGGGAAAAATAAAACCAAAGTGATATTCTAGCATGCTAACCATACCCTTGCCATCGATCCCTCTCCAAGTGAATCTCTTTGGTAAAGCCCTGCAAGTAGATAAAAATTGATAAGTCCCTTAAGACCACATTTATTGAATCAGATGATGCAAATTATTATACAAAAGAAGCGACTATAAGGAACCATAATTCTTTAGCTATATATCTTGCAGATCATTTGCACATAAGTGACTAAAAACCATAACCACCTTCGGCAAATTCATGTTTAATGCATTCAATTTAACTGAACTGGATTGGACCATCTTCTTGGAAGCGCCCTAAAAACTTTCCTTTTAAAAAATTACCAAATTTTCTTACAAAAAGAAGTCCGCCAAAGTCAATTATATGCTTCATAGACTTGGGGGTGGGGATGTTTTACTTCTATAAATTTATGATACATAAAGAATGTAAAACAATACAGCAGTGCAACCACACACTAAAATGTGTCTACATCAGACCTGTTTGACAAAATAACCAACAGCATTATTGTCAGCATATGTTAGAAAATGAGTTAGTCCATCAATGTCACGAGCGTGCTGTTTTAAATGATTCATCAGTCTGGTGCCATAACCTTTGTCTTGTTCATTTGCTGTGATTGCACAAAAAGCTATTTCCCCAAACTTTTGGCTGATATTTGCCACCAAAACAAGTATTAGTGAAGAGAACAAATGAAGCATTCACATCATAAAAAGAAAAATCTAAGGTTATCACAAAACACACAATAGTAAAGCCTCATAATAAATAAATAACAGATAATAAGATTTGTCCTGAAACTATTGAAAGAGATGAGCCACACTGTGATTATGCATGTTTCTCTTAAGAATCTCAAATTTTTGTATTACACTATGAAATAGCACTTAATAATAGGGAAGACACACTAAAACAAAGTTTAGCAAAGAACAGAGCCAAAAGAGGAAAATACACAGCATAAGGAGAAAAAAAATTGATTTGACTCACTATAACATAAGACCAGGAATGCAAATAATATGCAGGTAAAATATTACCTGACATATGGGCGATATGTGATGCCACCAACAACCTGATTCCGCCTGATAATCATCACAGACTTATGGCTTCTACAAAATCCAAGTTCATTACATTAAAGAAGTACAATATCCCGGCTAGAAACAGCAGGAGGATTAACAAAGATTATCAATGTCAACCACAGACGGATATGTGTAAGATGACTGAATGTTTGACCCAACAAAGAAATCCATGCAAAAAAGTGGTTTTCCACCTTGAAGTGTGTAGCTTCAAAAATTTCTATCCTGATACCTGTCCATAACAAGGCGAACAATGTACTCTTTAGGCATATTGGGTAGTTGTCTTCCAAATATATTCTTCAATCCAATCAACCTTAGAAACCAAAAACAAAAGCTGAATTTTCCATCACCAGTTCATGAAGGGAGTATGGTGAGTTACGAGATAACCATGGTCATCAATGGCTACTAATAACGAAATAAACTGTGCATAATCCAAGAAGAAAAAACGTGACATGAATGCTTAAGGCAATTAGAATTAGATACCAAACCATATGCTCATCAACACCATCGTTTGAATAGAAAACAAACTTGAGTCTTCCCGCTTCTTCCTGCAAAATGATTTTTTTTTAAATATTTTGTAATTCACAAGAGAAACAACCTATTAGAACGAAGACACATTCTTTTTAATCATTGCAACAAAAAAAAGTTGTAAACTTTACCTCTCTTTTCAAGTTCTCTTGTCTAGCACTATAAGCTCCACTAGTCTGCATATTCTCAGTAAATATCTTAACGTCTTCCTTCGTCGAAGTCCCAGCCATTGTGCTCCCAACTGCTGCGGTAGCTCCAGTGGGCCCAACTGACCCTGACCCTGGTGCTCCCCCGTCTTTTACTCCATCTGCATTTTCAATCTTAAACGTGGTATTTTCGTTCATGAAATTCGTGTTCCGAACCGAACCGGAGCCTCCACCTCCAGACCCTAGGCGAGAGAAAGTTCGGATGGAGGAATCATTGTTTTGGTCGAATAAGTCCTCATGGTTGTCCACGGCGACGTTCTCTGAGTCGTCAGCATCAGAATCAGAGTCAGCACCGCGTGCGGAGATGCTCTCGAGGTCGTCATTGGAGGTCAAAGCGCCGTCTCGAGTGTCGGCGGAGAAGGACGACGGAGGGAACGAGGAAGGAGGCGCGTGGTCTTCGGACGCAGCAGCAACGAGTTTACGCTTGTGGAGGGAGGAAGTAGCAGAGGCGGAGGCAGAGTGAGACGGGGAGGAAGTCTGGGAGCCGCGAGAGCGGTTCGGTGCGGTTAAATGGGAGTCCATCTCCCGCAAACTCGGATTTGAGTCAACTCGATGCCGATTATGATTCTTTTCACTTCATATATTGTCGGTGACTGTAGTGTAGAGTTTTGTAAAGCAGCTCCAAACTTGCCGGATCGACGTCTGCACTGTTCGGCGGCGTCGATTCTCCCTTTTTTGGGTTTGTAATTCGTAATTAGCCCAAAACGTTGGGTCAATATTTATATATCTACATTCTATGTTTGGACCCATCCCTTCCATTATTAATGATATTGTAGCCCTAAAACATGGATTTGGCCCTTTAAAATTAGGTTAAATTATAAATTTGGTAACTGAACTTTACTCTATATACTATTTCACTTGTTATACTTGAAATCTTTTCAATTTTCTTATTGAAATTAATACATTATATTTTTTTGTCACTCGTTTTCTCACTAACGGTATTATAAATGAGCTTTTATATAGATGCAAAATAATGTTATTTTGATAAAAAAAATTGTTTTATTAAAACATTGTCGTTTTGATGCCGATAATTATTTAACGACAGAGTGATAAAAAAATCTCAATATATTAAGTTTAGTGTGAAAATTAAAAACTTTTAAAGTTAAATGTGCAAAATAGGATAGAGAGTAAGTTTAGTGATGAAATTTGTAACTTACCCTTAAAATTATAGGTAAATTACAAATTTACTCACTGAACTTTACTATCTCTACTATTTCACTCTTTCTACTTTTAGTGTTTTCAATTTAATCAATGAACTTTATACATAAGATTTTTTTTGTCACTCTACCGTTAAATAATTAACAGTCTTATTACCTAGCAACTTATACCAAAACGATGTAATTTTGGATCTCTAAAAAAAATTAAATCAAAACGATGTCGTTTTGGTTTAAATGAAAAATTATATTTTTTTCTTTGTTTCTTCTTCCTTCTTCACCTCCCTTTTTTCTCCATTTTCTGTCTTCAACTTGAACGAACCAAAGCACGCTTCAAGCTCCACTCTTTTCTTTATTGGGCTATTCATTTCTAATGATGAGAGACTATTTGAGGATTATTATTTTATTCTTTGTTCTCAGTTCCGAGGCTTTAATAGTTTTAGGGTTACCTTGTAAAATCGTTTTGTTAACCTTTGGTAGATGCAAGCAACAGTGTCAAAGTGTTTAGACAGACGACGCCTCCACCCGAAAACCATGGTTCAACTATCCTTTTATCGCAACGGTAAGCTCTTTCTCCACTCTCTTTCTTTAGCAAATTTTTTTTCTTAAAAAAAAAACTTTGATCTGCTTTGAGTATTTGTCATAATCGTCTTTTCCGGACACAATGCCGCCACGGAACATTTTCAACACTACACTATCTTGTATACTCGTACTATTAGCCGTTGAAGTTGTGTTGTCATGGATATAAATATCACCGTTTTGGAGAACTCTTCGCACGATCAGGACGAGATCCAACAACACCTCCAGGTGCCAAGGTTGGCGAGCAGCAAATGGGTAGTGGATAATGAAAATAAAAACGATGGACATATAGTTTTCATCAACATCAAATCATAAGAGAAACTTCAAAGTCCAAAAAACCCAAAATAAGATATTCAACACAAGCTAGCCAGCTAGGTTGCAAAGTTGCAAATTATTAGGATGCGATATGATTATCAAACTCAACATATTATCGAACCACCCAAACCACACTTAATAGTACATATAGGCATCTCTCTTTGTCTCTCTAAATGCCAGAGGAATGTAAGTAGGGCGTGAAGCAGCGGCACTAGTTCCAGTTTCTCTCTTGCCTTTTGTCTTTTTGGGTTCCACCTTAGGCAGCAAAGTTGCCGATGAGTACCATCTCGGGTGGACCGGAACCCTATGACCCTCCGGTTGATGACTTCTCTTCCTTTTCTCCTCCATTTCATTGTACCACCTATTTTGAAATGTTGCCAATATTATATTATGTTATATAAACTATTATAGTAATGTATGTAATGTATGAAAGATGATGTATGATTTTCTGGTAGGAGACGAACTCGGGATATTTGGCTTTCAGATACTCGTCAACCATCGGTGGAGGAGCTATAATTTGTTTTAATCTTTCATAATCCACTTCCTCGGATACACTATTGTCGTAGTTTATCTGCAACGACAAAATTGAAGATATGTGTACTACACTACTGTAGAATAATAGTGTATGAAATTTTTCATGTTTTCAGATTAAAAAAATGAAAATTTCAAACCTTGAAGAGTTTGGTTTCACAGCAGTAACTCACAACCTTACCCATACATCCTTTGTTATCATATTCTTTATTTACCAAAGCTCCCATCCAATTTTCAGGTTTCACAATCGTCGGTTTAATCACAGGGAAGGGTAACATTCCACTTGATTTTGGTTCAGAGTTTGTAGCATCATCCAGTAAGCTGCTCTTCACTTGGTTTGATGCTGCATTATAAAAATTGAAAATCTCATGAATTACCAAGGAATGTATATGACCATTGATACCTTATATGAACAAGAGTTCTGAATTAAGTCATATACACTATTCAATCATTATTTTGTCTGATTCAAAACTTGGCAAAAAAACTATAAACATTTAAATAATTGTTGATCTAATTCATTCACGCACAAAATCTAATAGTATATGTCATACGTCATGTATCTTTTATTCGTTAAATTAATTATATATCACGTGTCAAACTAACAATTAATCAAATAGAAATTTGACAAAAAAAAGGTATTGATGTATAAATAGATATCGATCAAATCAGTATAAAGTATAAGTTTGAAATAAAATCAAATCAAAACATAATTCAACATACAAAAATTTACTTTCAGACTATCTAGAAACACGGATACAGTAAATTATCAGTTCAATATAAGATTTCTATATGCAATATTTTAATATCACTAAAAGTAAATCTTCAATTTACACATTAAATTATGAAGAGAGAGTGAAAGAAAATTCATAAAAGAACAATGAAGTGAACCATTTAGAATGCTTTGTGGCATCAAGATCTTACCTGTAAGGCTGCTTTTGGCATTCACAACTTCACTCATTTTCAGATGAAAACTTCCTAAGAATTGGATCTATAAATCAAATCAAAGGATTATCAAGAAATTAGTGATGAACAATAAATATATTGTATTTATTTTAAATATATATATATATATATATACAAGGCAATCAAAATATTGATAATTATGAAATAATTTTTATTTGGTAAAATGACACTGAAAAATTAATAATTGGCCAAATTTAATGAGTGCTCTGTTACAAACGACACATGCATTTGAGATTCTTTGCTGGAGTGTGCAAAAGGCATTAAATGTACAGGTGAGACTTATAGGGCAGTTTTTTTAACCTTGGGGATGCGAGCCCCACCTACTTGCACTGAAGCTTTTAGTTTCACATGATGAATGTGTGGTTGGTAAAACTTAAAGTTTTACATATGGCTTATTACAGTAAAAGAAATTTTACTTTAAATTCAGTGACTAAAATAGAAAAGATGTAAGAAATGATTCTCATGTTACCAAAATAGGACAAATGTTTTATGTTCTCTAAATGTACATTTGAAATGCCATCCCATTTTGGTTTTGCTTAAAATGCAAAGTTAAAAAGGCATAATTGATTGAAAATATGACTTTTTGATAATCAAATTGAATAATTTGTAAATATTGTATCCAGCTTGAAATTCTTGGAAAATTGATAATCCTTTCGTAAAATCTGGGAGGTACATGGATTTGGGGGTGTAATTTACCCATTTTCATTGTAAATATGAAAAATGGCAAAAATATCACTTTGTCAAGTTAAGGGCTCGAGAACTCACGCCCTCCACCTCATCAAACAACTGTTTCGCCATCTGGGCTAGGAACCATATGTGCTAAAATATTGAACCTAAGTTTGAGGTTTATAAACCTCTCTTTTTTCCCCATCACGTGGAGATTACATCCCTCCCATCTGTTGTGCCTTTTTTGAACTTTCTTTATCTCTCTGTTTAACCTCATCTAAGTACTGCACCAATCGATTAACGTCATCGTGAATCTCACTGCCACCATCATTATACTCTTTGTCGGCCCGATAAAAATCATATCTGCAATATCTTAAATGATATAATCTTAAAAAAATATAACATCTTAACTTCTAACATTTTGTTCTTAATCAAATCCAATCGGAAACCAAACTCTTCTTTAAATATGTTAATATATTGTTTTATTATCTTTTGTATCAAGCTTGGAACGTATACTCTTAAGAATATGAATAAAAGCTCGACAATCGAACACCTTAAAGTGTTTATATGAAATCATCTTATCTATCTATATTTACTTCATAATATCTTCATCCACATCACTAGAAGGAGAATGATTGATGATAATGAGATAGCATTACTGATTCCCCTAAAAAAAGTGATTTAGACAATTTAGAATTGTAATGCATGATTTAAACTCTTCTTTTAATGACTCGGTTCATTCTTGGAGCCATAATATTTAATTATAATTATGGTGTTTTAGGTGAAGTCTTTTCGATCTTAATGTCATAAGATTTGTAATATATTATTCTTAATGTCTTAAATATTCGATCTTTTGTTTTTAATAAGAATACTCAAACTTTTCTTGAATGATTATCAATCAAATCAACAAAATATAAAGCATCACTTACTCACGTTTTAGTCATTGAACAAATATTTGTATGTACTAAATCAATAATGGGAAGTTCTACCGTACTACAACCTTAATATACGGTTAAGGAAAGATGTTATCGGTTTTGTTATTATTTTTTTAACAAAAAGGGTAAAAAATTACCTAAAACATTATTATTTCTACTTTTTTTATTATTGGACGCTTTACCAAGCTTGATAATATATCTGGTAAAGCGCTACCTAAAACATTATTTTTCTACCTGATATATTACCAACCCCGGTAAAGATTCCAATAATAACAAAACTGGTAGCACCTTTCCTTATCAGTAAATTAGGCTGCCGTACGTGAGACTTCCTTATCAATAATATATCTTTTTATACGTGGTTGATTGCTTTTACAAAATAAAATTTGATGTTATTTGTTATATATATATATATCATAACTTCTTATATCATAGTTTCAAACTAGAGACATCTAAGATATTTTAAGGATTTTGAGCGAAACTAAAATAATAAGTTTTTATAGAACAAAAGTATATTTTATTAATTTGAAAATTAATATAATATTATATCAATAAATCTTAGAAAAATGATTAAATTAGGGGTTTAAATTATAAAAGTAAAAAAGTTAAATTGAAAATTAAGAGACTCAATTATAAAAGTAAAAGTTAATATTAAAAAATTAAGAGTTTCAATTATAAAGTTAAAAAGTACAATTGAAAAAATTAGGATCCTCAATTATAAATATAAAAAATAGATTAAAAATTTAGGGGCTTCAATTATAAAGGTAAAAAGTGAGATTGAAAAATTTAGGAGCCTCGACTATAAAGGTAAAAAGTGAGATTAAAAAATCAGGGCCTTAATTATAAAAGTAGAAAGCGGGATTAAAAAATTGGGGGTCTCAATTATAAATGTAAAAAGTGATACTAAAAAAATTAGAGGTTTCAATTAAAAAGGTAGAAAGTGAGATAGAAAAAATTAGGGGTCTTAATTATAAATGTAAAAGGTGGGATTGAAAAATTTATGGACATCAATTATAAAGGCAAAAAATAAGATCATGAAAAGTAAGGTATTAATTATAAAGGTAGCATATGTCTAATGTCCTCCAAAATGATTTTATAGTCAATACTAGTCTTCAATATGACATTTTCAATACACATGATCTTGTTTGTTACTTGGTTTTTCATTTTCACTGGATCATAGTCACCACTTTCGTATGTTGAGAAAAAAAACTCCATGTAAGGTTACATAAAATTTATGAGCAATCACCACAAGAAATTTTAGATAATTAACTTCACCAAATAACTACAAGGATGATAAATCCAACTTTATTCATAGTGCATACATTTCTTTTTCTTCTACTTTGGGACTAAAGACACAGGCTTTGCCACATTCAAAACTCAAAAGATGTACCAAAAAGCCTTGATAATTGAGATATGAAGGAAGAAAGGGCAGGCCATCCAACGGCAGTCACCAGCTTCCCATCAGACATACACCCTTTAGTCTCCTCCACCCATCTTCACCATTAGCTTCATTCCATGGCTGCATGCACATCTCTTCCCCTGATTTACATGATTCATTAATGTTCAAAGCCCATATATATGTATACATACATGTAATTAATCAACAAGACATTGCATAAACAAATAGTGATAGTGAGAAATCACCTTTAGAACACCCGCAGCAGCTAGGAGCCATTGCCCTTGCCCAATACCAGCAATACAGAACTATTGAGGATAGCGTTGCCCCTATACACATGGACTGTTGCAAAAGTTGAGGGGGATAAAGGCCTGGCCCAGTGAAAACATGGTCAACAAGCCCTGAATCATAGAGATTGAGGCCCACACTTAAATCGGGAAACTATGGATTGCTTCGGCTCTTTCGTTGTCACACAAGCCCCAAAGAAGAACAAAACGTTGCTTTCAAGCATTGCCCAACAGAACATAACAGTGCTTATTTAGTGCATCTTAATTAAAAGGCTCTGCCATGACATTGATTTCATTTTCGTCTCTTCAACAAAGTAAACGACAACAACATCAAGCAGGGTTGGAGGAAGATTAAAAGCGTTTTTATTAATAATAAGTTTGCTAACGACCTAATAGCAGGAAAATAAATAAAAGGAAGGCTTGCCCCCAAAGTTCACTTCATCCTTAGCAAAGATTGCACTCTGTTATCAATTTCGCCACCTACAAAATTAAGGCTCTACCTGTTGAGATTTAATGATGTAGTATTAGTACCCGACTGTGTGCCCTTTATTTTCTTCTCTATTGGTGGATGTTGAGGGAAAGACGAGCTTATAGAATTCTACGGATGAAAATATATAAATAAATTATTAATAAAAAATATTTAAAATATATAATAATATAAAATTTCAAGACTAACAACTACCTACAATCGACTTTCTCAATCCATCCCAATATATACGAACAATGGAGTTAAGAAAATGACGTGTGATGAATGAATTTTACGTCCATTGTTTTATTACAATATCATGCGTAAGTGCGTGTTAAATGCCGGTCGTGATATGAAAGTGGTAATACGTGTGAGCCATCGAGAGCATGCCTGCTATAATTGCCCATAGCCCCACTGTGTCATCTTCTTCCTCTTGAATTTATTTGATTGAATTAATGAAGGAGGGACAGAGAGTATAACAAAATTTACTCTATGGTGATTTCCATTTTACAGTTGGCTGAACAGCGTTCCCACTTCCCATTAGAAAAAGAAAGAGTAGGGCAGTGGCCCTCAAATAGTAACCTTAACATCAAAGTCCTCCGACACATCAGAACCTATAAAGTTACTGTCATGTTTCTATTATAATTATTTTTTTTTTTACAGTTGGGGTGTAGTCCCCATTAAGGAAAAAGAGTTACAGGTAATGGCCCTCAAAAGGTAACGTTAACATCAAGTCATTCGGCAAAGGGCTCCTTTGCGTTTCTTTTTTAAACTTTAAAACAAAATTTATTTAGAGTGAAGAAAACAAAATGAACAAATCATCATCCTTCTTTACTAGATATAAGAATTGAGTGAGATAAAACAAATTTTAAATTTTCTGGATCTAATCTAAAATATAAAATATATATTCTATCTCATCCATCTCGAAAAACAATGTTTTTAAACTCATATTTTTCTAGTAATATATATATATATATATTGTTGACTCGAATTTAAAATTTTTAAAAAAGACTTTTTTAAATTTATAAAACTGCTTAATGGATTATACACCCATGTTAAATTCGTTTACTTGAACAAATAATAATAATAATAATAACACCACTCAAATTAAGGTTCAATCCTTAAGGTATAGTTGGTACTAGTAGTATGATTATCCGTCGATGGAGGACAAAAGTCATGTTCTAACTTTGCTTTACAATGACCCAATTTTCGTAATTACTCTTTTTATATGATTATTGTCAAGATAACTCACACGAGCTTCACAATAAACATTTTCCCATTGTGGTAACCAAAATTAACCCACCCTTGTTTTACAGCTCGTAAAAGCGATCATTAGATATGCCTGGATTTCAGGTAAATCAAAGATTCGATGAGAAAAAGTGTTAAATATACATAAATATAAAACTACAAGAGCTAATAAAAGTAAGCACGAGAGGAATAATTTAAAAGGCCACCCTCTTTTTTTTTCAAGTCACTATCAGAACACCAACTTCCTACGAAATGCTAGGATATTGTCATTACTTTCCCCGGCCAAAGCAGCGACGTCTCGTATGGTTTCGCTGATTATGTCTCGAAATATTAGCCGTTCGATGTCGAGGACCGTTTCGGACATCTCCGAGGGACAACCTTTCCAACCGTTGATGGCATCCTCAGCAAGGTCCTTTCTTAACACACCACAAATGATATCAATCAAGTCGTCTGAATCGTTACTCTCTCGAATTTTTTCGAATTCGGACCAAATTTGTGACAATGACATCTCCCCACACCCTGAATTCGCAAAGGAGATGAGCTTCCATGGCGGTAATTGCTTCTTTCGGTTGAGAATTTCATTGACGGTGTCGAATATCAGCTTCCTTTGGAGTCTAGACACTTTGGAGGTGTCTTTGCCCTTCACGTATTGTTGTTTCTCGAGCAGTAAAAAGACATCAGTGTCATCATGCAAGTAGCTTGATGCTCTGAAGATATCGGAAATGTAAGTAAAATCACAATCATCTTGGGATTTTGATTCCGGGGATAAGATTGCAGGACTCCACATTTCATCCTCTGATTCACCAAGTTGATCTGATGATTTCCAAGACAGACAATAAATGAGAGAGAAAATGTTAAAATCCCAGTTCAGGCTTTGATTGGAAAATTTGCACAATCCAAAAAACAGTTCTGTTTTTAAGCCTAGTGTCCATCCCACCATTGATTGATGAAGAAACAAAATCAACATCAGTACGGATTGTAGATTAAAACATACTGACAGAAGATGATGTATAATATAAGAAAGATGAAATTCATCGTCGCTTTCACTCGATTTCCCATATGCACATAGTTCAACAATTTTAACAGAGAAGTGGGACCATTTTCCTACAATAAACCAAAGAGACAGCATGGGATACTCTGAAATGAAAATCTAATGGATCTGTCAGGCAAAGCTCAGCAAAGGATATGGCTTTACCGGGATTTTACCCGTAAATACTGTTTCGCAGCAAATGGAAGATGTTTCAGACTTTCAGTCACTTTTCCTATTTATAGTTGTTTTCGAGTTTGACCCAGAAATTTTTCCCGCCGGCCGAATAGAAATGCTAATTAAACGAATCAAAGTCCAAGGCTTTTGAGTTTTGAATTGGACTCTGTTTGACTAAGAAGCAGAGTCAGGCCTAGGGCTAACCTACAATAGTACATACGTCAAATGCAGAATCTAGCCAATCTAAATTAGTTGGTAGAATTCTTCACTTTCCCATAAAAGATTATGTGCCCAAGAAAAAGCAGCGGTAGAATTTTCTTTTTTTTATACCTTTGAAATCGATGCTCCTTTTCATGACAGGGGAAGGAGACGACTCTTCCTTGTAAAACGACGAATCAAGTACGGAGACTGGACTCGGCTGCAACTCAGTCGAGGCAGCGGCCATCTCTGCAATGTTTTGAAGAAGCATATCGCATCTTTCCAAAAGGCTCTTCCCTTCCTTCGATCGCTGTAACACCCGAATAAATTACTGGTTTAAATGAGTATGATAATTAAACAAATTTAATAGTAATTTGAGCAATTTTTTTACCTCCGTATCAGACTGAGAGGACGTGCTAATGCTATTTTCTGAAACTGTAGATGTTTGATCCTCCGCCGGAATAAATACCTTCTCTTCATTATCGTAAATCTCAGCTGTTGGTTTCCTGTTTCTGGGTAATTTTCCGGTCGTCTGATCTAATCCCGCTCTTCTCACATTAACCCGAGGGGACTGAACCGGGGACACTCTTCTCTGCTCTACATTGCCATTTCCTCTCCTCTGTGTTTCAATACTCAGTGGCCTTCTGTTGGGACTCCTGACGCCACATTCACTTCTACCTGGAGAAATCGAACCCTTACCTCTGCTTTGGTTTCGAACATTCCGTTCAATCTCCGGCTGATTACGTCTCGGACTCATAGTCGGCGTTGACTCAATATTCAAGTTCCGGCGAGGTCCAGGTCTTGAGCGATAACTTGGAGGAGGTGAATCTTTGCCAACCCTTCTGACGGCTGAAGCCGCTGATCTTCCCGGTTTGATAACGACAATTGGAGATTGTTCTTGCTGATAAATAAAGTTCCTGTTATTCGTTTGGCTTGGAGCTTTCTTAGAGTGTAAAAGGCCTTTGAGCTGCAAAGCTTCGAGTATTAGCTTGAGAGTCTCGGGATCTTTCAATGGCTCATCGATTCCTCTGCTCTTAAGACGTTTCTCAATCTCTCCGGATACGGAAACTGTTTGTTTTCTCTCGGGAAAGAAATCTGCTGAATCGTAGAAACATTTTCTTCGGTCCATTCCTCGATCTGGAGCTTGAACCGGCTCAGCTCTAGCATTTCGTAAGCTTTCTGATCTGCTCGTGCTTACACGATCTTCTTTGTCTCCATTTTCTCGTACGGCATTGCTCAAAGCCCTTCCGTTTTGGAAATTTGGTGGCTGGCTTTGTTTTGAATGGATATTCACTCCTTCAATGAAACGTTGCTGAAACAGATCTCGGCCTCTTGCTTCTGACGCGGATCTTCGGAGCTCCACTTTTCTTTCCGGTTCAGGATTGGAATCCAGTAACGGTTCCAGTCCCATGAGTCTGGCGATTACACTTGGTGACCGTCGTTGTTTGTCGTTATCATCCGCCTCATCTTCTTCCCTGTTACTTTCGCATCGGTTGGCAGAAAATATGGAGGCGTTCGTACGGATCTCGCGGGGCTTTAAGCTTCCTTTAGCATCAACGACGGCTCTGCTATCAAGAGAGAGCCTTGGAGCTTCTTTGGAGAATTTCCATGGCGACCTTGCGCTTCCTTCTTTGAATTCAAAAATGGGAACGGGAAGAGATGACTTGCTCTGATTACCGGTCGGCTTAGCAGCTTCCGGCGCCGGGTATCGGAGCTCCGATGTAGCCGGAGATTGCTTCGAACGGTCCGGTGATGCTGCTACTCGACCTTGTGGCTGCTTATCTAATTCTCTCAATATTGCTGGTGTCTCGACGGTCTTCCCTTGCTCCGTTATCGTTTCACTTGCCTGAAAAAAGATAAATCAATAAAACAAGAGAAACCAACTTTAAAGAGAAAAACAGAGATTTCGAAAAAGAAACACCAACCGGCGTCGGCATGGGAGGGAGGCGCTTAGTAGAGTAAAGGCGTTTGGCAGAAAGAATCTGGTGACGATCAAAGATCTGAAGGAAACCAGCCATGCATCCCATTTGCTTCCCAATTTGTTTCTCAAGATTTTGCTCTGGCAAAATATTACCCGTCATCATTTTCGTTGATTGTTATTTCACCCTCAAAACAGTCGTCTTCTTTGTGACAAACTTAATCTTTCATCCTCAAATATCCCTCCGTGAATGGATGATTGCCACTTCTCTGTGGCTGTGGGGGCTTTGCGACAGCGGTCTTTATACGCAGCTCCCGCTTCTCTGGTCTTTAAAACAACCGAGGGTGTGGGGGCAAGTGAATATATATATATATATTGATTAAAGCGAATATGGAGGTACGTTGCCTCACCTTTTCATAAAATGACAAATTAGTACATTAGAGCGAAAAGGGTTTGGATGCCCAAGACAATGTGGCGCACACGCTGTACAGCTGCAGCCAATGCTTTGTCATAACGTGTCATTCGAATGTTACCTTCATTTTCCTGCATTTGCTTAAGGGCTATTAAATGCATGATAGTTCGGTTTGTTTTAATATTCAGTTAAAGAAATATTTTATTAAAATTATTATTATTTTTTAATATTTTTGATAAAGTATTATTTAAAATATTATTTTTTACTGTAAATGTTATTTTCGCTAACTAATTTTCGGTAGAATATAATATTAAAACTTTTGATAGAAAAATAATATTTTAGGTAGCGTTTTACGAAAATGTTAAATATTTTAGGTAACGCCCGATATTAACATTTTTTGTAGAAAAAAAATAATATTTTAGGTTATACTTTACTGCAAATATTAAATGGAAATATTAAAAAAAATATTTTCGATATAGCATTTCCTTAATCATATATTAAAATTGTCATTAGATATCTCCGGTTTAATAAGCCGTCCGACTCTTCATATATGTAATGTTTGTATTGATAAAAAATAAATAATCTCCCATGTTTACTTCGTATTTATTTTGATTTTAACATCAACATTGCTAAAATAAATAATGTCACTTTTGGCCAATAGAAAATTATTGATACCAGTATTTAACTATTTATCTCTTTTAATTTGAATATAAAATCATAAACAATAATTTTATAATATTAAATATTGATTTTTTAAAACGTTGATTTTGCTCGATAACAAAATCGGAAAAAAAATAAGAATTGATTTTCTGTTTATTGAAATCTTTGATTTTGTATTTAAAATTAATCTGGATTTTAACATAATTTATTTTATTACTATTTATAATAGAAATCGTTTGGAAATAATAATTTTGTTACTGATTTGTTTTAAAATTTTAGTTTCTAACTAAATTTTGTTGATAAAATGACCAGAATTTTTTCTAATTTCATAACTTAAATGAAAATGGGTAATATCATCAATTCACCTAACTCACAAACTGGAGTATTGGTTCTACTCATACTTTGAATTAAAACTCAATGGTGTTTATGGTCATTACACACAATGAAAAACTTATAATATTTTATGGATAGAATTTCAAGACATGACAACAGAAGATGTTGTTCTATCTGGTCATGTTAAATTTGACCACATATTGGATGATCTTCCTATTATTAGAGATGATGATGGAAACGTTGTTACCTCATTTACTGCAGTTAAGGTTTGAGAGCATTTTGAATTTCTAATTCGGAACTACATCTTGAATGAATTATTGAATATACTATACAAAGTGTATGGTACACATAAAATGGATAAAAATTATGGATGGTATTAGATTGTAGATGCGAGATGGAAGATGTTGGTATTAAAGAAATTTTAGTGAGCTTCATTGATAATACCAAAATGTATTTTTACATGTATAGAGAAATTTATTATCTATAAAGAATAAGTTGAAAAAAAAAACAATTTAATAAAAGGATTAAGATATTAAAAAATGATAGTGATGGTGAATAAGTTAAATCGTTATGCACAACACAATGTTATTCATGAAGTGACATCATCGTATTATTCTAAATCAAATGGAGTAGTCAAACCAAAAAAATCAGACTCTAAAAAAAATGATAACACGATACTTGAAAGTTTTGGGTTATCACAAAACATGTGGGAAAAGAGAAGTTATCATGTCAACTAATTATCTTTTAAAAAAGTTTTTTAAAAGAAAAATAATAATACACTATATAAGTTATATAAAGTTCGAAAATCTTTCTATTAACACTTGAAAATATATAAGGGTGTCTTGCTAAGATAATGACCTCATTACCAAAGCAAATGAAAATAAGTTATAAATGATAGATTGTATTTTTTAGCTATCCTATTATCTTAGAAGGATACACCGACACTAGTTAGTATTTGATATTAAATATACCAAAGGTATAAGTGAATATGTTTCACATTAGTATAAGGAGTTATGCCATGAAAATTCTCAACAAAATGATTGCAATCAGATCCCAATAGAATTTAAGTTTGTAGCTCTAGAAAAGTTTGGAGAATAAGATGGATGGCTATAAAATTCCTTGAGGATATTCTTCAATGAATGAAATTTATGTCCACAATATGCATATACTTTGACTAGCAAAAAGTTTCATGTATAATGGTAAATTGAGACATGTGTTGTCGATAAAATACCGTTAGATAATTGGTCTCAAATGAAGTTATCACTATTGATTTTGCAAGATCAAAGGATAACAAAGTAGATCTATTAACCAAAGGGTTAATTCGAGTAAAGTTAAGAAAACATATAAAGGGATGTGAATCAAGATCATGAAATTTAAAGTATTTATGTGAAAGAAAACACTACCTAGTTGATTTGAGAACTCAAGATCTAAGTTCAAAAGGATAATCTAATTGTATAAATCGTGTACGGTCATTATGGGGGTCTCTCATCCTAAGTCTGTTTCTATGATTTAAATAGTGATCAAAGTAGTATATGTTAAGCAAAAATTTTAATGATCATTGTGTACTTCAATAAGTCGAGCAACATAAGTCACCTATGTGAGAGTGAAGTGGAGCCACTTCAAAGAGACTATTAAGCATAGTTTTTTTCAAACTCTTGCAAAACAAAGTGATGTTCACAGCTATATGTGTAACATCCTAAACCCGACTGGACCTAAAGTTCCACATTGGGCTACCAATGCAACCCTTGATCCTCAAAACATGTTCATTTTCTTTTGAAATGCACTGAATGATATCATAATAAAACAAACAATTGTTATAAAAACATTTTACAAAACCAAACCTCTATGACGCACAATTTAACTCAAAGTTTCATTTTAGGTTAAAAAAATTCCCTTTTGAGAGCGTTAATTGCGTTAACTAATAACCTTCGTCTATAGAGTGTGTGTTTTGTCCCTAAGTGAAATATTAGGGCCAAAATGCTCCAAAAGAAATAATAAGAACCAAAATGATTATTTTCGAAATTTTGAGGTCTATTTTTGATTTTATGCCTAAATTTTAAAATAATATTTAAATATTATTATCATTATTTTATTTATAATTTATTCTCATATTAATGATTTTTCTAACACACATATCATGTACGCATACATCAATGCATTTTCGTTAGAGAAGTAATAGAAAATAAATAATTAAGCCCATTGTTTATCATTGCTGAAAGACACAACGCAAGAATAACCTTGACCGAACCAAAACAAACAAACAAAAACAGCACTTACAACGCAAACCAGTCTGACCAGTTTGCCAAGATGGGTACTTGATCACTGCACTGCCAGAACTTCCGTTATAGATGGCTGCATTTCTCACTAATTACTGAACAAAGAAGACCTTAGCATATTGACACGTGTGCAAGTATAGTACAATAAATGTGACAACCTTACTACTTTTATTTATGGAAAAATAAAACCCTATTTTCACTCTCAATCCTTTAATTTTATTTATTTATTTATCGCTGAGCTCGAAATGTTAATGTTTCCAATTTAGAGGATCCTATGAGGTAGGAGCAACTTTCGCCACTAAGATCCTTGTTGCTGTATCAACTTAGGTGTACTGTTTGTGACCATAACAGAACAGAGTCAACTTTTGTGGAGGCACATTTTCTCTGGCATGGGGTAAATTGGCATACGGGTTCTTAAATAATGAACATAAGTGGGGTTTCCAAAACTTGTAGAGGATCAAGCTGAAGCTTTTCCCCCATGTGACTTCTGTACACTATACTCATGAAATTGCAACAATCCCTTTTCACCATGTGAGAGGCGCCTGTGTTGCTCTTTTGTACGCTGCCTCTGAACTCCGACCCATATCTATACATCTCTCTATACAGGGCCTAAGATCTATTTCATGTGTCTTGTCTTCGATTTGAATCTGATGCTAATTATTATGTGACAAGAAAACTGAAATAAAGTATGTTGAACCTATCTCTTTTCTTTTTTCCTTCTTTTTTAATGCAACCCACATGCATTTCAGATCTGAGGCAAACCCTTCATCTTTATAACTTTTAATAATTACGATCTCAGTCCACTAACTGCAATGGTAAAAAGAAAATCCCAGTCAAAATAGACAAATAGCACAGTTTCCAATCTGAAAAAAACTCCCATGTTCTTTCACCGACCCTCCTCTGCATACATTCCTAAATCCCAAGTTCTAAAGAATTAAGATAGAAAGGAAGTTTACTATTTTTAATCACTTAGTAAAAAGAAAAAAGTTAAATGTTTTTTTAACAAAAGAAAAGGGTTTTACTAGTAGATAGCTATAGGAGGAATATTGAAACTAGTCATGGGAAAATGTGCATCAATTTATATTATGTGTTATTCTGTGAAATGCCTCCCATATGCTGCTGTCAGAGAAGGCATTAGCCGTGTCGTATATTTTAAGCTAAAAAAGGGTTGATTGGGCTAAATGGGATTTGGGGAGTGCCGAATCAATCACGCAGAGATGGGGATTCTGATCCCTCTCTGGGGTTATGTAGTTGGACCACTTCCAACACACACCAAAGTTACGCATGAAGATAAGGTTTTGTTATCTGTTATATTCGATTTATACATGGTAATAATATTGTGTTTCTTTCGGATCTTCTTTGTAAATTATATGTATATTATGATTCCTTATCTATCATCTTCTATATTTCTCGTTTATAATTCTCTATTTAAACTAAAAGGATTGATGTATAAAAACTGTTATAATCCTATTTCCCCTGCCAATAACATTAAATATATTTTTGTCTTCGTATAAACGAAGAGCTGGTTAGATAAGAGCAGATTATGAGTTGGAAACCTGTCATTTAGCAGGGAAGGTTTAATCCATTGTCTAGTGACCACCACGA